TAAAAGTGAAGGCAATTGGTATAATTATGGTGAATAACATTAATATCATTTTTACACTACTTAATTTTTTTAACATAGAATCATTCTTGCCGGCGGGTCGCGTCAGAAATTATTTATGCGGGAAGACGTGACGGGACTTTGTTTTAAATTTTGTGGACTTTACTGTACATACTCGTAATACTTTTTTAATCAATATATTGGATTTAAATTCTTTGTGTAGTTTAAATGAGCTTGCAGAGGGTCACTTTGTTTTATACTACGTATATATTATATTTGACTCATCCCACTGCATTGCCGGAAACGAATCCCGCATCTGTGTCATTTTTTTTCAATAACAAATCTGAAATTAATGGTATTGAAGAATTTATAATTAGTATTCGTAAGTGTACTGGGTACTTATTCGTTTCTCTCTTCCAAATTGTTATGCTCTTATGAAAGTAGAGGAATCAGTGTAAGTTATAATAATTAAATAGTTTCATTACATTTTTTTAGTTTAACTTTCTCTGAGCCTTCTTTATTCTAAAATTACTTTACCTTGGTGTGTCAAAAAAATAAAAAGTAAAAATTATGCATTATACTTTTATATAGTTAAAAAATACACGTACCCATAGATACACCAATATTTAGATAGATATTTGGGTATATCGTTCCTGACAATTTGTTTTCTTTATAAATTTGGAATCGTAATTTCTGTAAAACGTCAACAATACAAACACACTCTCGACATCTATATGTACATACATATACAGCACCTATATACCGAATAAACAATATATTTTAATGTAGTTTGTTTAATTGATATTTTATTAATTTGACACACATCGTCGATTTTTGGGTTTTAAAATTCTGGTTTTCTTCTCATGTTTTCTTACACGGTATAAGCAATTGCGTATAGAGAAAGATATAAATAGATATACTCTGAGAATCGCATCTTTGTCTCACACTCCCCGGGGTTCAAACACACACGCGGTTTCGCATCGGCGGTACTTCACGTTTTATGATTGGAATTCTGAAAAGGGGGGGCGTAGTTTACGTTTATTAGAATGTCTAAATGACTGCTTCACGACTGTCGCCGCGATGCGAAACTTTTTTTTTTTTAATTGGTTTTTGTTGGCGTACCTGGTATTGTAGTAACTGGGATGTCGTTAATCTACACATACTTTATCGAAAGTACTCTGGTTGTAATAAGCCCTAGCCTGTAATTCCCATCTCACAAATCAAATTCTCAAAGCAATCCGGCACTTGCACTGCCTTGATATGCAGATTAAATAGAGCTTGCGGCCTGCTGACATTAATCCGAATCTCCTGTAATCTCGGGGATTAAGGGGAAGCTTATTTCTCGAAAAACATAATTTATTAATATAAAAAACTGAATATACCTACAATCAACAGCTGACTAAGAATGCTGCTGATGTAACATTGAATAGAGTGTCAATAAATTTAACATACTTTTTTTGGTTTACTGAGTAGGAATGTTTTAGAAGGTTAAGGAACAAAGAAGACTGAAAGGGGAATTCACCTGATACGTAAGGGTACTATTTTAAAAGATAACATTAAAGAAATATAATAAAAGAAAACACTATGATTTGCATTGTAAAAGTGGTTCAACCTAAAATCCATAGATTTGAAGCGATTTATATTTGTCTCAAAACAAAGGACTTTGGTACAGTAAATTACTATATTTTTTTTAAATAGTATACAACTCTCCACGCCTGTAGTCTGTTGGACTTATTCGAAAAAAAAATATTTTTTTTAAATATTATTTGTCTATAAGTTTGGCCATTAAACCTACTCTCACTACCCTGGCCACTGGCCAATAAACTCACCTCCTAATCGCTTTGAACTTATTCATAGGTTTAATTAGCTTACGTTTGTCACGATTATTTGTCAAAATGCCACACGAGTGATATACAATGTATATTTTTTGGATTTTAAAAAATGTATGAAAAAAACTGTACATTGCGGTTGTATGTTGATTAAAAAATATAACAGAGCTTCCCCTTAATACTTAAACGTCCTGACCATCGCCACTCAGGGGCATTAACTTAGAAGCTGCTGCAAGTAAATTATATTAATATTAATAGTATCATAAAATAATAATTGTTATAGATATAATGGTAGGTTGGTGTAAGTAAGTTTCGAAATTAATTTTAAATATAGAACACTATTTCCTAATAATTTTCTTTTTTTAACAAGAATATTGAATAATGTTGTGAATAAATAAATATCATAAAATATAAATCACCTCAAACCCTAACAAGATTCGTAAAGATATCATTAGCAAAGGAAGTTAAGTAAATATACACAATGAATTGAACCTTCCAACTTCGTTTGTAACGAACTTTAAAATGTTTAAGTAAACTGAAACAAATTGTCTAACTGTTTAATATTCCGTATCTGTATTTCTTGTAACTCTAGAATTATATATATCTCTGTGAGACATTTTTATTCACATTGACTCTCTTGTCTATCGTCTGTCTTGTGATAATATAATAAAGTTAAATTTATACAATTATTGGTAGTAGTGGCAAAAAATCCGAACACGGCTTACAATTAGCCGTGAACAATATCTAGAAATACTGTATATTATATATATTATGATTTGCCACCAAAATAAAACAAATACCTTACACTAAGCGATTTAACATACATAGAACCTCGATACTAAACCTCGTAACATAAAAACCTCTGTTACTTCAAAAATACTATCTTCCCTTCCCATCAACCCAAAACCTCTATAACTTAAAATACGCAACCTCTATAACGTAAATAAATAATCTCTTATAGCCCTCAGTAACTAAAAGAAATGTTTCCACAACCTCTATAACATAAAATTGTTTGTGAATGAGTCATTTTATAAGAGTGTCAAAACAAATGGTTTCGGTATTTTTGCTTGCACGTGTTTACTAATGTATTGTTAACGTAAACAATACATTACCTATTGTTTGCTTTATCTAAATTCTTCAAAGCTTTGCGGCGGTTAGCTTTTGTGACAACGACTTACTTGCATCATAAGTTAATGTGTTAATGTATTCTCCTCTCTATTTGTCATTGAAAATCAAATCGATTATAAACAGTGAATTTTTTAAAACAAAAGAAAATCACAGTTTTTTTAAGTAGACTAAACCTTTAGTTGTTGTTTTATTTTTATGTAATGTAAGAAATGTGAATAAATATGATTAAATATTTAATTTTCCATCCTTCTGATGCATTCAAGTAAAAATGGGAGGAAGGGTACATAGAAACATGTACATACCTCTATATTAGCCTTTACCTGACATAGAACCTTGATAACTTAAAACCTCGATAACATAAAATATTTTGTGTTTCCCTTGGACTTTATCTTATCGAGGTTCTACTTATTTTTAAAATAAAATCACGCTACCTCATATTTATACTCCCTTTGCCAAACACAAAAAATGTATTGAATTTATTGAAGTTATACTTTTTTAGGCGCGTTATGAAAAATTGATGAGAGTGAAATTTTACGATGCGCGCGCACCGTTACACAAAATTATCAGTATGAAGTTGCCCACTAACGAATTCTTTTTAAACCAGCCGGGCGCCGAGCGTGCGCGAGCGAAATGAGAATAAGACAATCTACAAGTAAAAAGAAATAGAATATGCGTGAAGTTAGCAGCTATGTCAAGAATTTTGAATGACCATAATGACCTTTGTAGTACCTTTTGAACAAATAAAGGAGTTTTAATTATTTTTTCAAAGAAATTTAGCAATGCTTTTTCACAAAGACCTATTGTTACTTAGTTAAAAGGTTATGAAACATACCTAGTTATTAAATTGAATGAATAATATAATAAATAATAATAATCATTATTAATATTAATTAATAATTAAATAATATACTAAATATTAAATATTATTAAATTATTAACGTTAAATATTTATTATTAATTATTTAATATTTAAAAAAAATAAAGAAAGCCAAAGAAGTATAAGTTCTTACGCGCGTACATAAGTACACGCACCCTTTTTTTTTATACTGACACTTCTATGTCTGTTTCATTTAGTCTGACGGTTGCCGCTCCGGTCTCGGTCCGTTCCCGGTCTGGTAAAATATTCTTAGATAAGAACGAATCAGAGTATTCTCACTATCGTAGGAGCAGTGTTGGCCTAGTGGCTTCAGCGTGAGACTCTCATCCCTGAGGTCGTAGGTTCGATCCCCAGCTGTGCACCAATGGACTTTCTTTCTATGTGCGCATTTAACATTAGCTCGAACGGTGAAGGAAAACATCGTGAGGAAAACCGACATGTCTTAGACCCAAAAAGTCGACGGCGTGTGTCAGCCACTGGAGGCTGATCACCTGCATGCCTATTAGATTTAAAAATGATCATGAAACAGATTCAGTATTCTGAGGCCCAGACCTAAAGAGGTTGTAGCGCAACTGATTTATTTTATTCTCACTATCGTATTTTATCTTATATCTTATTCTTTTTTATGGCAAGTAGACTATTATCTTATCCGAAACACGTTTTCCTTTTATAATGTAATTAATTATTTACTTACCCTAATCTTTATCTCTCAGAATTCTGCTTCATTAACAAGGCCACAAAGCATAGTACCTATAAATAATATAGTCACTTATCCTATAAACGCTCAGAACGAGCTCTAATAACACTTAAGTCTTATTATATGCGAATCCCTACACATGCAATCCCGACCCTCAGTCAGTATTGTGTGCCATTCGATTACACAAATATTGTTCAGCTCTCTCCGCGCAATATTTAAAAAAAAGAATTCCACAATACCGCGAACGTGTTCTACGTTTTATCTGTGGTTTTATAAAACAAATGTGTCGATACGCATCGTATCTGTTACAAAAATGCATAATTTAAAAAATCAAAATGACAAATATTTTAAGATAAAAATGCGGCCGATTTTAGCGAGGACTTTTAAACACAAAATCGTAATTTTGACTACGTTTTCGTTGATATATTTTATTATAATTTTAATTTTAATAAATACATGGTTTTTTAAAAGTATGGAGACGAAGTCTAAGTTGAGTTTGGATAATGTTATAGTGCATTTTGATTTCAAGGGATCGCCGCCAAAAATGTCGTACTTGACGACGTTGCTGCCAAAATTAAAATATCTTGGAGTTACAGGACTACTTATGGAGTATGAAGATATGTTTCCTTATGAAGATAAGTTGGTGAACTTAAGTGCACGGAACTGTTATGAAAAATCTGAGGTAATAGTTCAATATTTTTCAATTAGCATTACTTACGTACAACAATGTCATTATGTGGAAAAACATTCCTCCTAAGTTACTGTACAGATTTCTATTATCATTCTTATACCTAAAGGTTTGTGAAGGACACAAGTTTAATTTTACTTATTAAACATAAGAATTGTAATGTATCAGATGCTTCAAACTGACAAGATAATATTATAATGACTACCGCGGTCAGCTGCCGACTGTATGTATATTTTTAGATGATAGCAGTCCACCCTACGGAACTCAGTTGACCTAGTATATACGTCATGTCTCAATATAAAATACTGCGGAACAGTTGCAGATGGAGATAAATGTAATCGTGTTTAAAATACCTTATTGTTTTATTGTTAACTAATTAACACCTAAATCTACTAAAGAGTTTGTTGTTTAAGTTGACGCGCTACTCTCAGGTGTGGTTTGAATTGAAAATAACATTTGTTAAAAAGTCCGTTTAACTATGAAGATATAAAAAATATAAGTTGTTCGGATTAATACCTGCACTTTAGTTTCATCATCGGACGTCGAGGCAGAATACGAAATTCCATCCGTATCACCTCGACGTCGGTCGTTTCACAACTGAGCGTTTTTCAAGGCAGTTTTTGCCACGCATCACCACTATGTTGAACCAGCTGCCAACTGAAGTATTTCCGACCCAATTTGACTTTGGGTCCTTCAAGAAAAGAGCGTAACAATTCTTAAAAGGCCGGCAACGCACACGCGAGCCCTCTGGCATTGAAAGCGTCCTGCCCGTTTTCCCACTGTTGTATAAAAATATATATTAAACACACTAATGAACACTTTCATTATACATAAGTATATTATTTTAATTCTGAAGGGTTCTGATAAAGAATTTTATAAATCTAATACACACATAAACAAATTATTTTCAGCTATTTGAGTTCGTATCCCTTGCGACGCAATCTGGGTTGGAGATCATACCACTAATACAAACCTTTGGTCACATGGAGCACGCACTGAAATTGAAACAGTTCCAGCATTTACGAGAAGAACCACTTTACCCAGACTCCATCTGCCCCAGCAGGGTAGAAAGCCAGGACCTAATTAAAAATATGATTGAACAGGTATTTTTAACGTTTTTATGGATTTTATGCATTACATTTTTACGTGTTAAGAATGATTATCTGTGTAACAAAAGCTGTGTAACAGACTGTTGTTGAGAGAAAAAAATATATTTTAATATTGGCTACACTGGTGAACGCCATCTTTGATGTCACTCGCTCTAAGTCTAGTGTGTACTGCAGTGTGTATTATTATTTTCATTGCTAATTTCATAAAACAGTTGTGGCGTACTAATTAGCATTTTATTTCAAAGCCCTAACACAAGCACTAAAGATACATAGCATACCGATGCAATGTACTAAAAATGCGCATACTAAGTATATTTTTAAACGTAGTGTCAGGCCTCGTAACTTCCAATGGGGCACGGAGACGAAGGAAACTTTTCTATGGTTGTTTTATTTCCTCTGATTTTTTTTTGAAAATACCACTTTGATTACGATATTTTCCTTCACTGAACAATAAAGTTTTGGTATGTAGCACAATAATCCAGTGCATAGCCGGAATATTAACGTACGAAGTCAGGCAGGCAGGTAATATGCCCTTGAGCAGTGTTGCGGCACTTTCTTATAAGATAATTAGATTAAAATTTAGCTATTTCCAGGTAGCCACATTTCACAACGACATAGCGCCACTCAAACGTTTTCATATCGGCTGTGATGAAGTATATCACATCAACAAATGTCATTTGTGTAAAAGACGGGGTCTTAAGGATATGTAAGTAATTTTTTATTATTTATCTTTTAATGATTTTACGTTGGCCAATAAGGCTTGTAGGCTAAGACTAAAATATTTAACGGAACAAACGCACACCATTATTTTTTTTCAACAACTTTATACTATATATAATCTATACTAATATTATAAAGAGTTCAAGTTTATGAGTTTGTAGGAGGTAATATCTGTGTCTACTGAACCGGTTTAGAAAATTATTTTACCAATCGATAGCTACGTTTATTGTGAGTGTCATATTTGTCATATATATTAGTCTAAAAAACTCAAAAAATTGGATGGACACGGTTTTCGGAATACAGCTGTTGTCCATGCGAAGCCGGGATGGATCGCTTCTAGTAGTCGTTTATACATACAATATTTATAATATGTAACAGACTTTACAAATTCATGTACCTTAAGCGACTTGATCATAATAGTTTTAATTTATAATATTTTTATTAAAACGAAAAAATTTACTTTACATACTAGGTACTTCGTACTATTTGCAACATTTAAGATAATTATTATACGTAATTTTTAATATGCAAGATGTGTGTCACGGACAGAGTATCTGTATTTTTTCAGAGAAATTTTCGTGAAACACGTGAAAATAGTAACAGACATTGTAAAAAAAATCAGTCCTAATACAACCGTGCTAATCTGGGATGATGGTTTACGAGATGTGCCTATTTATAAATGGGACAATTTTATAAAGAACCTCAGCGTAGAACCAGTTTACTGGGATTACAGGCCAAGTTTATCGGTTTCTCATGTGAGTCTCATGAAATATTATTATTCCTTTCAAAATATCTGGATCGCATCTGCGTATAAGGGCGCGGATGGAAGAGTGGCGACTTTCCCCGATATCAAGAAACGTTTTCTAAACAATTTTAGCTGGTTAAGTATAATTAATAATTATAAATTCGGTGGTACGACTGATCTTTATAGTTTTAAAGGCATCATACTCACTGGATGGTCCCGATATAGTCACATGGACCCGCCTTGTGAATTATTCCACAATGCAATACCAAGCTTATTCGTTAACTTGCTCTTAGTAAAGCATTTTAAAGAAAATGGTTATTCAGATGCAGATGACGAATTAAATTTCACCGATTACTTCGATAAGTATCTTAAAAATAAGTTTAACAGTGTCTTAGAATGTAATAAAGTAACAATAAATTATATAGACCCGTCACGGTGCAAATTTGATGGTAAAGAAATCTTTCAGCTCCATTTGCATTTGAATAGGCTATTTTCAGATGTAACATATAATATGAATGATGAGGTTCGTGGTTTATCGGCTGTTGATTATTATTCAAAAACACATAATACTAATGTAAATAATGTTAATAAAGATTTAGAATGGACAAATACGACGATTAAAGAATTATTGCAAATAGAGCACAGACTTAGGCAGATCTTACTGCAATATTATGACGTGCCCTCTGTAAATGAGTATTTAAATTATAAATTGTATAATTGTAAGAAAACTATATTTAGTTTGTCAAAACATTTAAAGGATATGTTAAAGACTAGAACTTGGGATAGGGGACCATATAATTAGGTTTTATATGAATTAAACTTTAGTACTTAATTTGGACTTTTAATTATATCCTTTTTCAATTAATACCGATAAAATGTTAATATTGGCTACACAAACCTTGTTAATTAAATTTATATTTTGTTGAACCAGCTGCTACCAAAGATTCCTAAATGTAAATAAGTTTTAAATAAATATAAGCTTGTGTTAAAAACGATTCGAAACGACGCTACAGTCAAGAAGTATAACAAGTTTCTTCGCGGAATTGAAGGGTTAATTTAAAATGATCATAGATTTTATTTAGGTACCAGTACTATTTTCATATATTTAAAACATTTTCATACAGTCAAGGAAAACAGTATCAAACCGAATTGTGAAATATCGTCCTATTTCAGCCGTGAATGTCTGATCATCTACTTGTGTAAATGAGAAATAACCGAAGAAACGCATATAATCTCTCAATCAGGGGACCTAAAGATGGTTGTAGTATTGGATTATTATTATGTTTTTCTAAACCTATGTTCTACCATTTATTGTCACTGAATATTGGTTAAGATAAGCATTGGGGAATATTTTTGATGAGTCACCTAATATAGTAACGAAATGTGGAGGAATAGAGGATATGGCAAACTGCCTTATAGCTGGTGAAAACTTTCATGTTGTCAACTCTTTAATTGTACTGAATCGTCAAACCTAGTCTACTTGGTAGCGTAATGAAATTTTTCACAAAGCTTTGCCACACGTCACGTTCTTTACTGGCTTTGGAAAAATATTGTCAAGCTTTTCCATTTAACCGTTTGACGCTGAAATTAAGCTTCTTTGTACATGCTTTGAAATGTATAATCTACATGAATAAGCCATGCATATAAAATGAATGTAGCTGATATTTTAAGCAATAAATTGAGAGGATAAACCTATTATGCTTTGTTATTTGAAATATTTATTCTTCTAATTTTTACTATTAAGATGTTTGCAAAACTATTGACAGCTTAATATTATATAATGTTACTTATACTGTCCTTGTGTTGTTCCTGTATTTAGTATCTTGCGATATGATATTTCAGTTTTACCTACCAGATCTTTATGTATTTGATGAATGGAAAAAAACTTGGAAATTATTTGAATAAAAATACTTATGCGAATTGTTCTGTTTTCAAACTGTATGTTCTGATTAGAAGGAGTTAAAATCAAAACAAAACTGTTAATGGCGGTAAAGACCCGACTGAAAAAAATCCGCAATAACCTATTAAAATCTTTTATTAACTCTGAACAATCATTAAAACATCTGCAACTTATAACTTGTAAATATGATAAAAAATATCTTAGACTAATACACAGACTAATTAAAACCCTTACCAAACTACTATAAATAAAAATTATCTATTTTTTGCATCATCTGTACTCTTAATTTCGTCAATATCTTTTGTACTCTTGTGTACGGGAGCTATTTCGACTGGTGGTGGTGTTATAGGTACCAAACTACCGTCTTCCTCAGCTACTTTTAGGCCGATAGTAGCCCCTAACTTGGCACTGGCTTGCTTAAACGTATTAGACAATTTAACTTGAACAACATTAATACACATAGAAGTCAATGCTAGACCGAAAACTAAATATAAAATGGAAGCCATCATGAACATTGGATGATCAGGCACTAGATCACCGAGACCTATAGTAGACATCGATACGAAGACAAAGTAAAATGATTCAAAGAAGTTCCACGTCTCCCAAATACTATAGCCGACAGCACCAATTATAATGTAAATAATTAATATTGTAATGGCGACTGATATTGGTAAGTTGAATTCATCGTCTATTTCAAAAACTGATGGCGCTGGGGTTTCTAATTCTCCGTCCTCAACAAGCTTTTGGCCAGGCTTTGGTGGTAATGGAGGTGGAACATCGCTCGATTTCCGCTCGATTGTTGGTGGTGCATTTGGAGAAGTGTCTATGTCTTCTTCAGAAAATATTTGCGAAGGACGTCGCACTACATCGTACACAATGTTCAAGCCCTTCATCACTTCCTGTAATTTAAAACAGCTATGTAGTACAAACGTGTACGTTGAAAACAGCAAATTAACAACCCAGCATGTTGTTCAATGCAAAATCATTATTCATTTCTGTGTAAAAGAATATTCTCGCGTTATTTCCTATTCAGTTGTAATTTGAAACTGGTATTAAAAATTGAATGAGAAAAACAAGAGCTTTCAGGTTATTTGAATTTTAAAGTAATAATATGTTTAAAATAACAATGTGTTAATTATTATATAACAAATTTATTGTCCATGCTATAAATTAAGCAAATAAGTTTACACATAAACTTATTAACATTTTGTTATATGCCTTTCACTAAAGGCATTAAACAGTTTTTTTTTATAAATATTTATATAGACTAGATGGAAAACGTGAGATATTTTTAACCTACTAAGAAGAACGTACGGTTATAGTCTAGGTTTTTTATAATAATAAACCTATATATTTATAAAAATCTATCTAATGCTAACCTGCATAGGCGCTGTCCGTCTCACTCTTCTACAACTCCTAGTATAATAAAACCTCCGAATAAAAGCCCAGAAGAATTTTATTATTCTTGTGAACAACTTGCCGAAATCCGCTAAGACAATCAGGAAAAGTGGTATACCGATTATAGCATACACGATTGTAGCAACACGGCCATACGTCGTCTTAGGAGCTATGTGACCATAACCTAAAAACAAAAAAAAATATTAAGACGTATAAAAAAAATTAAAACAGCATTTTAGGTAAATAAGGAAATGGCAGAATGAACCAAACAAAAAAATTGCAGTATTGTTTATAATAATTTTATTATGTTAGTAATTTTTATGTAACTATGATATTATATTTATGCATTTTCTTACCAATAGTTGTTATCAAAGTCAAGCAATAGACGAATGAATTCATAAAATTCCAAGACCGCTGACCGCTATATGACGTGACACCCGCTTCATGGGCAGTGTGCAGTTGATCCTCGAACTCATACAATTTCTTTCTTGCCATGGACTTCCAGTCTTCTTCTCTAAGATAATGACTTCCACGCCATAAATGTTCAATAAAATCACGTTTAACATTCCTAGCGTTACATTTGAAGGCATTTTCAAATGACCCTTCGAGTGACTTAAACATCATTCCACCCAAACCACATATTATAATCAATATCAATAAATCACAAATACACTTATTTCTTAGTAATATCAATCTCTCCCAATCATTATTGTACTCTAATTTAAACTGTCGCCAATTATTTATAAATTTAAATCTTGTTAGTTTTGGCTTCATGCTCTGAATTTTTTCTTTAGCCTTTAACTGGTCCTTTGTCTTTTCCACATTGGTGTCTAATTTTATTTCTTTTTGAGTTGATATAATAGAACGTTTTCTTAAAACAGACTTTGGTTCGTTATCATTTTGATCTACGTCTGCTGGTACTAGATTAATTGTTTCCTTAGTATTTATTTGGCTAAGTTGATTAAGCTTTCTTGTCAACTCTGCCGTTCTGTCTAAAAGATCAAACTCATATTCATTTTCACTGGGTGATGTGGAATAACAGCTTGATGTATATTCAGACTGACTAGCATCTACATATCCCGAACTTTGCCTGCTATGTTTACGACGAACTTCAATATTTTCAGTGGCTACTTTTGTGAGACCTGACAAAATCTCTCGGTCACTTATAATTTGAATAGTTTTTGGACACGATATTCCTCTTGATCTTCTTAAATTGACTGGAGTTTTGTTTGGTGTTTGTAAGGTTCTACTATATGTTTTATAATCTGCTGGTACTCTTTCGTCCTCTTTAGGAATTGATAGACTTCTGGCTCTTGCTTTTTGCATTAACTCTATTATTTCTAAACTAGTCTGACTCATTCCTGTACCAGTTTTGTCAATTACTTTAATATCTTCAATTCTATTTACAGAATGTGACCGATTTTCTTTAGGAGGTTTATTTTTCAAAAACCGTCTTGGCGTTGGAACTACTTTACGTCTCGTTTCATTTGGATACACATTTTGTTGATACATCTGATCCTCACTCATCTCACTCTCACTGGTTCTATTCTGTAAACGTCATTATGGATTAATTAATTATTGTTATTTTCCACCTATTTTTACAGTCGTCATATGTTTATTAAATAGTGTCATTTTATTTCATTAGAAAACATAAAGTGTTACTGCAATCACTATGAGGATGAGAAGTAAAAATAATTTAATGAAAAAACTGACCGCCAAACGTGATGCTGATTTACTTCTTGCTGGTTTCACAGGTGGCACTTTAGTTTGAGATTCCTGGGGCTTGCTTTTTTGAATTACGGTAGGTTTAGCGTCACCTGTTAACTTTTTACTTGGAGTTCTCACAACTCTTTCACGTACTTCTACAATTGGTTTTTGATCTTGAGTGAGTTTTTTACTTGGGGTTCTTTCCACTTGAATAACTCGAGTAACAAGTTCGCCTGTTGTAGGAATTGGAGTATCAGGAATAATAACTGAAGATTTTTTTATCGATTGCTCCTCTTTTTCTCCTTCTTGTTTTAACTCTGCTCGTGGTGGTTTAGGTTTACTTATTACTTTTTTATCACGTTTTTCATCTGGATACACCATTTCTTCAAGCTTTTTAGGTGTTGCAGGCAAAGGATATGGAAAATCTTTCTCTTTTGGTGACGCACTCGCAGTACCTGGTGGAGACAAAGAGGTTCTAGAATTTAATAGTATATCATCTGCAGCACCTGTTAATGAATTACGACGCCTTAGGTCATCGTCTTTTGGGCTCACAATATATTTCGTGCTAAGTAATTTATTTGTCGGATCAATAAAACTCCCTTTACGTTCTAAAGCAGTTCCTTCTTCTTTTTCGGGGACCGCAAATGGAGAAATACTTCTTCGTCTCCTTGCATTTTCCTCCATAGCTCTGGTTTCCATAATTTCATCCGTGTTTAAGTCATAAATAGGATCTTTCTCGTTTGCTTTTTCCTGTACTAATCGTTTCATTTCTTCATAAGTGTTATCAGCTTCAATTTCTCGAGAAGTCCGCTGTGGCCTAGGTTCTTCATCGTCGGAAGTAGGAGTATCCTCGTGAGGACCAAGCGTTCTTCCTGGATCAGGCGTTTTCTCGCGGTGTCTGGTATTTTGGGCTCTGTTTTTAGAAATATTTCTTCGTTTCCTTAATGACATTGGTTTGGATGGATCCTCCATCTTGCAAATCTCTTGTTTTTCAGATGATTTAGCAATAATGACAGTAGGAGTTTGAGTTGCTGATTCGCTTTTGATAACAGGAACTTTTAAGGAGACATGAATGGGAACCTCGCACTCCTCACTCATGACTAGTTATACCCAACGGGTCCTGGAATTAAACACAATGCTCATTTAGACTGTATCGATTTTCAATCGTACTAACATCAATAGGCTAGAAGTGTTACCAAAATTGGCAATAGATTGAATTAATCGTGCCAACTTTAGGCCGATGACAGGTAGGTGCACACAAAATGTTTGCTATAATGAAATAGACTTACCATTTTGGATTCATATTCAGAAACTGTTTTATCACAATCGGGGTCGGAACGTTCTAATAAAAGAATCTATTTATATTCAGCCGTCACTAGAAAACTTCAAACCGAACTTTGCAGAGAAGTCCGTTAAGTTATTCTTAACAAGAAATAATTAATGAAATTTAAGGCAAATGCTGTATTTTTTTAATAATACGTGTTGATAAAAATATTTCTAAATCGACAACGTTTTGTGCGCGGGAGCACTGTGTTAAAGTGCGCCAAGCTTTCCGGGCAAAGTTCCAAATTTAAAACAGCGTGACGTTACTTGTGTGCGTGAATTGACTAGCTACAGCGTTTGAGACACTTTTGTACTATTAAAAACTCAAAACCTAAAAATCCATTACATATTTAAGGTAAATGTTTAGATAACATGAATGTATTTATTTTAAAGCTACTAAATAATAAAGAATTTGAATTTAATACGGATATTTATAAGACGATACCTGTCATATAATAATAACAAGTAATAGAAATGGCATATACATATTAGAAAGTACCTATATTTAAATGAAAATGTTATAACTACTAAGACTTTAGACTATCGTAAAAACGTATAAACTCTGAGTGTTCTCTGGTAAAAGCTTTATTGCAGCAAATACGCCTCCATTTTTACAAATCGTTCATGAACAGTGTTGTCTTATTTCATCAAACCTCGGTGGATTGCAAAGACAGTATAGGATAAAAGAATAAAGCAAAACTTTTCTCTGTAACTTAAAACACGATGCAGTTGCAATCGGAAAATGGTCGCAATTTTGTTGTGAAATGTTTTCATACGCCTGTGAAATACAATACGTGAAGATGCGGAATTGCTCTCATAAATATTAAGGCGTTTTATATTGCTTCAATATAAAGCTCGTTTCATAAATGGATATTCATATTGTTTAGGTATTCTGATTCCTAATCAAACCAAACAAAATTTTAACATAATTATAACGTAGTGGTTGGGGTCCCAGGGTTGATGATGCGTAATAAATGGCGACATAACGAGTGCCGCCACTTGGCCTCTGCTCACCAACCCACTCCCTCCTGCACGTGGCGAGCAATCTATAATCCAGATTGTGGTATCCAATCCTTTGGAGAGTTAAGTAGACTAACAGACGGGAGGTCCGGTTTACAATACTTTTAACCGGATATCAAACGTTGGTACATCGTTTGTTCCACATCGTGTCAATAATATCGCAGAGCGTGACCATGTCCGCTTCCGCTACCTTTTAGCATTCATTCGTACTTTGTCTTGACTAGGTCTTCTTTTCTTTCGGTCTTTATTGGTGTTGTTGATCAAAACGTTGATAAAAACTTCACTGCGGTGCAGAAGGCAAGGGGAAATCACTGCACTATTACTATTACATAATATCTAAGAGAAGTAGTTGGTAAGTTTGAATTGGGTGATAGGAATGACCGAGAAGAGTTCTGGCATCAATTCTGTGCACAGCACTCTCTCACTATCATGAACATATGATCTGAGAACGACCCAATGAGACTAAATACTTGGATAATACCAAAAGATAGAGATCAATTTCACTATATATCGATTAGCACATAGAAAGAGTGTATGGTAGAGATGCGAACGCTGTGGAAGGTGTTCACTAGGCTAAGACAATATACATACATATTACACATTCCAAATTGAATTTATATCATAATCAGTCGGTATCATAATAGAAAGTCGTATAAAGTGTTTTTCAAATAATGTAAAAGCATAGGATCAGCTGGTATAATGTATGTATTAGGGAAGAGATTCGCAGAATGGGGCTGACTACATTGATATAACTTTAAGTTGTAGGATTTATGTGACTTAAATCGCGAACTGAATTTTAAATTCGGATATTTTCCGTAAAATGAGTGAAAAAATTCTACAAGCTTTTCGTTCTGAAAAATCGATTAATTTGTAGGGAAAATAAAAGTTTGCTACAAATACTTCTATATATCAGAAAAGTTAAGGTACAATGTAAAAAGCCTTTATTTTTGTCAATTATTAAATATTACAAATTATTATATGGTGTCCTTGGACATAAACTTCTAAACCAAAAGTCTAAGTCCAATTTCGCAGTCTTAGTCTATGTTAGGTAATGCAAACTAAAAGCAAAAAATTAGGAAAATTTTAAAATTCTTGACGTGTTTTATAAGATTCTAAATCTTGAGGGTGCTCGTTACGTAAAGAGACATTTCTAACCCATAAATGTGTGACAAAGTCACGAACAAAGAGATGTTTTTGTTTATTTTTAATTACTTCTCTATAACAAAGGTTCAGTAGCAAAAAACGGTTGTCGACCGCAGAGAATTGAAGGTATTTTCATTGAAAATCTAATTTTATCCGTATTTCCTTGTGATAAGGTATAAATTTCCACTTTGCAATAAAATCGTTTCTGTTTCATAAAACTCTGGTAAAAGGAATATGATTGTGGTGTGTCCGGATTTAATTTAGAAAATAAAAAGTCAAAGTAACTGAGTAATGGGATGAAACAAATTATGAAATTGAATTATTTAATGTCAGATATTCGGCATGGAGTTTGAATCGGTGGAAAATGTCACACAACATTATTTTAGTAATTCGATGTTGTTAAACCAAAAATGTATCGCTTCACAGGATATTATACGTCATGTTGATTCGTCAAAATAAACATGCGAGTGTTAGTTCTGCAGCCTACGCGGTTAAAAAAATTCGCTCACTAACTGATGTCGATCCAGCTAGACTTGTTTATTTTAGTTACTTTCATAGCTTGCCTTATGGCTTATTATTATGGGGTCATGCTGCTGATGTCGAAACTATTTTCATCCTGCAGAAGAGGGCTATTCGTGCAATCTATAATTTAAAATGTAGGGAATCTCTTAGAGATAAATTCAAGGAAATTAATATACTTACCTTTCCCTCGCAATATATTTATGAAAATATTATGTATGTATACAAAAATAGTGATAAGTTTACTAGAATAGAACATACGCACAATGTTAATACACGGAACAAACGCAGGCTGCAATTTCCCCGTACTTTTTGGGGAAAGGGATACTCTTCTTTAATAAAATCCCAGAGGCTCTTTTAATTCTGCCTTTCAATAAATTTAAGAAATGTATTAAAGAAAAGCTGTGTAAAAAGGCTTACTATAAAGTCAACGATTATCTAGTTGATAAAAGGGCCTGGGACTAGTGCTAGACAGGCTACTTCTAATTAATTTGCGATATTTGTTTTAAATAAGTGTTGTTTGATGATTTGCTGTTTTAAAAGAGTACCGAGAGTTTTTTACGCCGGCTTTTTCTCTCGGCCTACACCCTCTGTCTTCTTTGCCGATGAGTAGGGATGCCTAAAAGTTCAAATTTAATGACGTGGAATAAGTGATACATGTATCTTATGTTCCATAATAAACATATTTTATTTTTTTTATTTTATTTTTATTTTAGTGAAATCGCACTTTCATATTCTAACAACAGTTTATCGTTGCAGTCTATTCGCGTTAAATTAAAGACTTATAGTAATTATAGCCAATTGGCCAATTCAATAACGTTTTAGAAACTAAAAAGCTGTATTGTATCCTTATTTATCCTTTGTAACCTTACCTTAACTTTGCAACTACTAAATAACTCGCCTTAATTATCATTAAGACTCACTTATATTAAATCCCTTATACATTAAAACTAAATCTGTATAATTTCACTCCTATAAATTAAGTACTCTTTCGTTTTTTTATTCAGTGTGTGTTTACTCTGTGATGACAAGAGACAGATTTATTAATTTTAATTACCTATAGTAGTATAAATTGTTCCAGCGTAGAACATAGAGTTCCAAAATGTCCAGGCCTTGTTGTTACCATTTACATGCTTGAGGTACTCTTTAAAGTTTTCTTCATAAACCGCTAAGTTCTGCTCAACAATCGATAGTAGGTCATTGCTGTCCTGAAATACGATAAACATTTTAAAATTAGATCAATTAAAAACAATTACAAACTTTTAATTTTTTCATATTTTTACACGGAAGATATTATAAAATTTATTTCTTATTTACACATAATATTAAAAATATAAAAAAACACCTCGAACGCTGAGGAAAATCATTAATAAGTAACTTAAAATTTGTTTCCGGTACACAACATCTTCATCTGATTTTTTTCAGTTTTTATTGTATTATTTGTTTCCGGTACACAACATCTTCATCTGATTTTTTTCAGTTTTTATTGTACTTTGACATTTTTACCCTATGTACCTCTGATGGTTGTGTCATTAAGGTAATGGCTCGAGGAGATAATCTTAATTATCTCCTCGAGCCATTACGTACTCTACAAAATATATAGTATAATGCTAAGGCATTACACTATATATTTTGACCAATTGTGACATAAGAATGAAGAGACGGTGTGATTAATCAAGCCGTTAGTCGATTAAAAATAATGATTATGACTGGGCATAAATTTTTGTGTTAATACAAGAAGGCCTGTAATTGAGGAATTGGACACATACAAACCATTTTTTAAAGACATGATCGGCCATCGGTGCCTGACACACATTCAAGACATTTCATTTACTTCACCATGTCGATTTTCTCAATTGGTGTATAGCCGTAACCAAACCTGCCACCGGTCGAGAGTCGTAGGCATTTTAAAAATACTTAACGGCGTTAAAAAATCTTAACTAAAATACCTGTAATAATGTTTGATTTTCCACTATTGTTTTCTGTATACTGACAGCCAAATCCTTTCTTACTAATGTTATATTTTTATTATACTTTTCCTCTGACGGACCTGTAAACATAAATTACATTACAAATTAAGAAATCAATAATAATAATAATTACACCTTAATTATGAAACTGAAACTACTATAGTCTCAATTACATTTTAGGTAAAACGGTTAACGCTTTGTGGTTAAGTATGACAGTCTCTTTCCCAATTTTGTACCAATGGAGTCTTTCTTACAAAGTAAGCTTCTCTAATGTACAAAAGCAAATGAGTATGACTTGAAGCCATACATCGACTTCAACATTCGCAAACGGCTAGTATTCTACTAGCGTGCTAAAAATAATGGTGAATGAATCCAGCGCAGAAATGTCAAACCAAGATCCAAAACTGGTGTTCAGCTAAATATCATAAAGTTATGTGGTCATAATACTCGTATTATTATCTAAATCTACAAGATTTCAGATGTCGTTTAGACAAAGTGCTGCCTGTCCTTAAAGCAATACATCTGAAGAGACTGTGTTACATGTCCTGATGACATGACGACTGTCCAATGTATGGATACGACAGGTATAATAACACTGACCAAGCTATGAGAATACAAGTAACAGAGACGAACTAAAAAGAAATAATGTTCAACAATAGGGTAAGAGGCATCATTCTGGAATTTGCTAGGAAGTTATACAAAAAGTTGTTAAAAGATGTAGGTAGAATAGATATGAGTGCTTAATCACCCCAGTTACCAATGCCATTTACTTAAGTTGTACTTATACTTAAGTTATTTATCACGACAACACAGTCGGGGAATTAGCTAGAAAATATTCAATAAAGATGTCAATTTCGAATAGAGTTTCAATTTCAGTAGAACCAAGTAAAATTTAAAGTTTCTTTGTCTAAAGCGTCGTGGTAAATATATGTATGAACGTGAAAATATTTCATTATAAATAGGTCGCATGTTAAAAGATCCAATCTTCACACACATGTTTGATCCATTAATAACGCGTAAAAAGTGAGCTAAAAGCTTCGAGAATGATTTAGATAACTCTAAGCGAGATTGAACGAACATGACTTCTCCATTTACGATATCCTGGCTACGCATTTAAAAATCTATATTTTATAATACATAACTTGAATAAAAAATCATTGAAGCGTAATTTTCTTAATCGTTCAAGTTTATTTGCAGATAGATTATGGCGTAACTATGTTAACCAATACGTACTATAAATTAACGATCAAATGGTAGTAAAGGTAAAAATCCTAGACAAAACTCAAACACCAGGTGATGAGCATATTTAAGATCTAACTATAATGTTTGTGTAATCTTTTGTGAAATAAATATTATTATCCTTACTTTCAGCTTTATTATTGTTAAATGTTCTTATAGTTTCTTGTTAAGCAAATAGAACTTAAAAATAATCCAAGCAATAATAGTCATCCACGACATATTCGACGCTAGACTAAGTCTATACAAACTATTCTTAAATAAATAAACGTTTCCACGTTTATGAGCGTCCGTAAATAACTATTTATAGAAGTATACTGGACGAAACTGGATCTAAAATATATCCCGTAATTTGAATAAATGCTGTAATGGGGCCTGCTGTAGTACCACGTACACTAATTGTGAAGCTGATTGTAACAAATTAAAACATTGATAATATAATCTTTTCCTTTACTAAAGAAATAATTTATAGATTTGTAAATAGTTTTAAAACTCGACGCAAATTAAAAGTTATCAACACAGAATCCTTCCGTAGCAGGAGCTACGTCGTAGCAAGTTGTGTTGTAGCCTGTTTAAAAGCTTTTTCTAAATACAGCAAAAATGGTCTGATGAAGTAAAAGTTATTTAGCTTGATATTCCTAGGGTTAATTAGTAATCTTGGTATATTGTATGTAACCATCTGGTAGGGCATTCGATTCCTTGAAAAACAACAATAGTCTTGAGTTGTTACACGAGAACAAATAAATCAAACGCAGAATTGCCCTGGGAATAAGGGTTACAAAACTTTACATAAATAATACATTTATATAACTTTGATATCTTCGACAGATAATAAATACATATTGTATTCCTTAAAGCTAAATTAATATATAATAATCCTGGTGAAGTTCCTAGATAGTGCTTGTTTATTAAAAATAAAATCATATTTTGCAATTATGTTGAACGTCTTTAATTCTGATGTTATACTTACTAAAAGCACAATATTTACATAATTATTTTAATCCTCCCAGCCCTAACAATTTTGTCATTTAGTAAACTGGAAATAATATTCTAAAAGGAAAATAATTTAAACCGATCTTGCAAATATTCCCAGCAAAGCATGTCTGAATGATGAATTACTTTAAAGGCTGTAACTTTTCACTATGTCAGCTTTACACGGTTCGCATTTTGCCCATATTTTATCCCTTAAAAGCCTTCCAAAGCTGAGTATGCTATCAATTCCACATACGCTCGTGTTAACAGACGCATAAATAAATTATAATTAATTTATTGAGAGTAAAATTAGAGTGAAAAATACGATATTTTTTCTAAGAACCGTCGACGTCATTTCGAGATTATATTTAGGTTATCCGAATAATGAACGGCTCGTTATTCTCTTTAATTAAGTATTTTATCTAAAATTAGTTAGTTAGAAGAACATCACTTTACTTTCAGATCTAATCAAAGGTACGTTTGCTACCCTATGCACTATTATGAAAATATTTGGTAATAGCAACTGTTTTCCTTTTGTGTTTGCTGAGTTTGTTATAATACTGTACAGTTTTAACCAAATAAATGTAACATCATGTAACAAATAATATCTATGATTAATTTGACGCCTCCGTCTCTTAACAGTAAATAGATAAGACAGACAACCTTATTTGCCGATGAAGCAATAATTGTTTTGTTTGAAAACCAAGCCATATAATTAATATTATTAGTGTCACTCAATTACCTGCATGGAATTTATATTAAAACTGTTTGCGTCTGACAAGCTCAAAATAAAATATAGCAATGATTAATTTTCGCAACGATAAAACAGAGCTTTCCTTAAATTAACGTCAAAGGGTAAGTTTGAATTATATTTTCAATTATGAGTCCCGTAAACAATTTTCCAACAAATTTATGTAATTGTAAGTGCAAAACAACGGAGAATAAGTATAAATCTAAATGTAAGCAATGGTGGTCGTACATTAAGTAAGTAACATTTGCATTATTGGTGCTAATTTTTATGATTTAGACAACCCTAGACTATACATACGAGGGGAGGTCCAAAAGTTCTGATGGAGGGGATGGAGTGGGGATAGGGGCGCTCGCTTAGTGTCATACTAATTGGGGACTCATAATTAGTATATAAATGGAGTTTCAGCCCTATTCGTCATTCGTTTACGAACACTCGCCTGCTAAACACGTCAATCCGGAAGAAAACTGAAACTATGGGAAATTGAACCTCTGTCATTAATTCCTTACCAAGCAAGGAAAGAACGCTCAGACCATTTTGAATGAAATGGAAACTGTTTACGGGGAACAGTCCCTAGTAAATCAATGATTTACAAATGGCATGGTCTTTTTAAACATGGTCGGGAGTCGATTGAAGACACCCCTGCTCGGGAAGGCCAGTTGAGCCACCACATCAGTCGTAGAAAAAGTGGAAAAATTGTACTGGAGGACACCCGTTTGAAGAAAAAACAGTTATCTGCATTAGTTGGATATCAGATACCACAATTTTGCGAATCCTACATACCACCTGGGTATGACAAAAGTCAGTCAAGATGGGTACCAAGAATGCTTACGCCGCTTCAAAAACACAGCGCGTCGAAGCTCAAAAATTTTGAGTTGTGTAGCACACCCTATCGATTTTGGAGCGAATTGTTACCGGCGATGAAACATGGGTTCATCACTTCGAGCCTGAGTCCAAACAAGATCCATCAATGCATAAAAGGGGACACCACCCCAAAAAATTCAAAGTGTCGGAGTCGGTGGAAGTTGATGGCTACTGTTTTTGGGATGTGAGGGGATAATACTGATTGATTATAAAGAAAAGGGCAACCTCCAATACTCCAACAATACTAGAAAAATTAAAGGATCCATCAAAGAAAACGTCGGGGAAATTGACCAAGGGTGTGTTCTCTTCAAGACAACGCGCCGGTTCACAAGAGCAAAGTTGCAATGGCTGCTCTACACACCATGGCTTCGAATCACTAGTCCACCCACCCTTAGTCAGATCTGGCCCCAAGTGATTTTTATTTGTTCCCCAATTTAAAAAAAGACTTAAGGGGAAGGAAATTTTCCGACGACAATGAGGTAAAGGAGGCAATTTGGCTCATTTTGAGGGAAAAGATAAAACATATTTTTACGATGGTTTGGAAAAATTTATTCATAGATCTAATAAATGTATTCAGCTTAAGGGTAAAGATTATATTGAAAAGGAAAAATAAATTTACTGTTTCATTTTTTACTAAAACCCTTTCATTCCACGAACTTGGACCTCCCTCGTATGTCAGGCCCTGGGAGCCGATTATGGACTTGCCAAGTTGAGTTTGAAGACCAGTAACTAGGGAAAAATGTAACATGACAGGAAGTGGTGGGAGATTCCCGTTTACGGAGGACAAGACAGATTTTAGGTCGTCAAGCGAGCGAATTCCACACATAGTCCATTGAAATGTTACAATTTGAGGGCCAAACTGAACATTTGTTAGATGACGCAATTTTATTTATGGAATATGTAAGAGGGGTCAATACAAGCTTAAACCCAAGTTTGTGGGGTTGGCGCCCTTGTCCCCCGGCAGCGTTTCCAATTAACGCAATTAAAAAAATATATAGAGAAAAATCTTCAGAAAGAGATCCTCTACAAAATTGTTTTGAAATTATTTTTTGATAAATTATTTTTTTCACTTTTTTACTCATTACTTTTGAATTTTGGCTTTATGATAAAAAAGTCAAATTGACATAATTGTAAGCAAAGCGATTTGCTACAAAATATTCTTTCACAAATTTTTTGTACGATGGATAGTATAGTAGATACCTATACCCAAAAACGTGTTTTCACCCCTTTTTTCAAGATGGCGGCTGGAGGACAAGGGCGCCAACCCCACAAACTTGGGTTTAAGCTTGTATTGCCCCCCCTACATATTCCATAACAAAATTGCGTACTCAAACAAATGTTCAGCAAATGTAACATTTCAATGGACTAACAGGACAACTCGACTTGACTTAACACAAAAAAGTCTTATTGTACCATTTGAATTAGTACTCACCCGTCTCTTTCATATACAGCGTAAACATTATTTAACAAAAAGATACAAGAGAGTATTTTAGTTGAAAGATTGCAATAAGACTGATTTATTTTATATGAATAAGGAGTTTAATCTTAAAACCAAACAGTACAAGTTTTGTTTATGTTGAACTTAGTTATGTAAATCTGTTTAAGTGAATTTCTAAACATAAATTTGTTATTCTGTAAAAATTTTTGTTCTGTTAAATATTTCCGTAAAAAAGGGAAAATTCTCAATATGAATCTGTTTTGAAGTCGTTTTTATTTAATGTTTATTTTTACAACATGCTGTTGAGAATATGATGTTAAATTTTGATCTCACCGACATCGAGTGTTTTACTACATATTTTTCTATACATGATATCGGAAAAAAACTACAATTATGAGCCAATTTAATCGGTCTGTGTCTTTTTTATATTGATAGGTATCAACCTCATTTCTGTTTCAAATGCTACTGGTTGTTTATGTCTTATCATGTTTTACTTACCTTCTTTATGATTCCATCTGTCAGACCCTCAAAAACACAAACATCATGACAAAATAAATACAAAATTATATTTTTTTTATTTAAACAAACGATAACTAGACTGTGGAACATGATAAAGTTCACCCAGATTTCTTGATCCAGTTTTAAGATTATAACAATTTGACCAAAATGCCAAGTAAGTGAAATTATTTGATTTGAATTTTAAGAGGCTTTGAGAGGGACTTACAAAGGTTCTTTAAAAGTTGTCAGGGAATTAGGACTCAATTTGCTCCTAATCTTATTAGTTTGAGTAAAAAAGTTTTAATTAAACTGAGGTTTGAAAATATAACTATTGCTTGAACATGTTAAATTTAAGTATCAAAGTCGCCTTCAATTATTAATATTATGTATTGTTGGACGTGCGTGTGCTTGAACATTCCAATAACTTTAGATTTGAAGGGAGGGTCACAAGCAATGATGATGGGTTTACCCCATGTAATGATTGATTGATTTTGTTAAATGACTTGTTTCAGCTTATAAAGAATATGACATTTGTTCCGGACGTAGAGCCCAAAAAAGCTACTCCATCAAAGAGATACTTGGCGTCATATTTACGTACATTATATTCATAGTGGTTAGAACAATACCATTGCTCTGTTATCTATGTCTGGGCATATCATATATCATTTGCCAGAGTCTCTGTTGTTTCGTGTTTTGCTCCTGACTAATTTTCCAACTTTAAGCTCCGTTCTACTGAAAATTGTAAAATAGTTATGTTTAAGTCGGAACAATATAATTTTAATACAGATGGCTTTTTATTTGAGACAGTAAAACTATAATATGTATGGAAAAACAATAATGCACCATGCGGCCCTAACAGGCAATCTCATTTCACACCTTCGTGGGAAAATCACGACATAAATATTTATTTGTTCAAGTATCTATAATACATCTTAAAAGATGTCATCTTCAAGATTTGACCGGTACTGTGATTTTATAGAAACAAATAGTAAACACAGAACGGGTGTTAACCTAAAAATGCGACGCATTACCCAAGTCAATGTAACATGGTTTATTTTATTTAACAGAAATATCGTGTTTATTTAGAAAATATTTATTCAGACCTCATATTTGTTTCCGAATTAATTCATATGAAAGGCTGAATATTTTTTATTATTAGCTGGATGGGACGAAAAATGTGTGTCGAAGTATTTTGTAAATGTATTTGCGGCATATATTTTGGTGTAGTTTGTTGTGGTGAAGTATAGTGAAGGTGTCTTAATAGTGATATATAAATGTCGAAACCATCATCCAATACACACATTTATGTTCAATCTTATAAGTTCCCAACGCAAGCATATTCGATACAATTTTCTATAGACAGCACATTTCCCGGGTGCTGTTCCTCTGTTATGTTTTCATCGCAACAATCATTTTCATTTTTCTCTTCACACTATACACATAATACATTATCCAATTACCTACATATAACGAAACACGATAAACTTATTGATAATAATAGAATTCAGCCCCTTTTGGTTTCTCCGTTGCCGTTTTTATGTTTCCGAACGTTAATTATATACCGTAAAATTACTTATAAAATGGAGAGTTGTTTTTTTATGGAACATGGGGTAAACTGGTAGACGGCCACCGCCGCCCATGGACACTCTCAATGCCTGGGGGTCCGCGAGTGAGTTGCGAATTGTTGTCGTTTAATTAAATGCGCGTTATTCTCACGAAATACTGTTTCGAATTAATGGAATTCTTTTTGTGGTGCAGTCCGTTCATTGTTGAATGATGTAGGTTATATGACATCACACTACGAAAGAACGAAGGCAGGGATAATCGCATCGCACAGTTAGTAATAAAGCTGTTTCGTCCTGGAAGTATGATCAATTTTATAATTCTTTTTGCAATTTCGAGGTGTTTAAAACGCGGTTTGTTAAGCAGAAAGTTTTAATAACTAGTTGTATTTCGAGTCACAGTACTGAAGCTAAGAGGACGCAACGTGGAAATAGCAATTTTAACTTTACTGAAATATTTTTTAAATGGATTAAGGAGGTTTTGCTTTTGATTTATGTTAATAAGACTATATTATTGCAAATATGTTGTACCATAAGATTAATAGTAGGGAAATGGCTGCATACTCCTGAAGCCGCCTATATGTACATCACATTTAAATTTTAGACTTGATGAAATCAATATAACCTAAAATGTATGAGGTAACTTTTTTAAATTTATTTGTGAATTAAAGTTTTATATTTGTTCGCGTGGTATGGGGAAGGCTGACTTCCTATTTGATAAAAGTTTTGCCATAACATTTTTAAAAAAATGTGTTAATTCTGTATAAACAATGCATTATAATGTGTAAGATTTGAAAACCCTTTTGAGTAAAAAACCTATGTCAGGGTTGCCAGCTCTTCCATAACAAATTAAATACTAAATTCCATTACATTTTATTTTTAAATTAAATTCTTTCCGTTCAACTGTTTACAACACGTATTTTCAATATTATTTTTTTATGTTTTAGTGTGCTTTAACCTTATTCTACTGCTGGTTTGTGCTAATAAAGTAATAAAAGACTTGATTGATTGCTGTAATTTGCGTTAGTAGGTAGGGGTCTATATTATAATTCGTACCTGGGTCACCAGAACCCTTGGGATTCATTCTATACCCACTAAAACCCTACGGCACCACCAGCGATCGTCCGAGGTCGATCACAGTAACAGCATAGCATTGTCCGCATCCCGCCACATGATCATTCGATAAAGCCACGCCTTTCAGCGAATTCTATGTCTCAACGGATCAATCAGTTGCCGAATTGTTTTTCCATGGTACGTCCATTTTTTTATGATAGATTGGACATTAAAAATTATTTCATTACTCCATGCTCATGATTCGAAGATTGTTGCACATAATAATTAATAGACATAATTTTTATGTATAATTTCCGTCGTAGTCCAATCAATACATTCTACGTTTACAAGATATTTGAGCCTTAATGATGGCTACATAATGCGTTATTAACTGCTGTTTTATGGGCCGCTTGTCACTTTATAGCTCATTACGTGAGCCAATAGTAAGCCCCGTTAGTCTTGCAAACAGGGGTTTATTAAAATATATATAAGTCGTAATTCACCAAAATTTTTAGAAAAATATATAAAGCATATACGTATTTAACCAAGGGATAGGATACATATTTATTACTCACAAATAAATTATATATTTTTCAATCTTTTTTCAGTTATTTAGTATATAATTATATGGAATATGACAAAAAGTCTAACAAACAAAAAGCAAACTGACAAGAATATGGCAAAATTCTATCTTGCCATGCCATGTTATGTGTCGAATACTATCAATAGCAGGATTGTCAAAATCGTACCGAAAAAAGACTGAGCCAGTCGATTGCAAACAGAACATGACTGACAACTATCATTCACAAACGGGTGCTTGACTACTTTGACCATATTGCAAGGAGAAAACTGGATAGTTGACAAACTAGGAATGGTCGGGACAAGTGATGGTAGGAGAAGTCGGGGTCGTGGAAACAAGCTTGAGGATAAAGCAGCGTGGAGGCATCTGTTAAGGCTTTTCAAGACAAGCGCAACCCTTCAGCAATATCAAGACTCAATGAAATTTTGTATGCAAATACTCTAATGTGTTACATACATAACAGTAAATATTTCCTTATTTAAATATTTAATGGACCAAACTATACTATAACTGACTTATATTTTACATACGGCAATTTTTCATTCCAGTGTCGCGACAAAGTTTTAAAACAATCTTACAGTCACTGACGAAAATAGCTGAGATACGTAAACTCTTAGTCAAATGATTTTTTAATTTATTACTTCATAACATTACTAAAATAACGCAATCTAATGTTTTTCTATACAACTTAGGATTTTGAACACAAGCAATGTTACAATACAATAAAAAACAGTTATAACATATATAATGTCTAGGCCACAGATTCTGCTCACAGACCTTCGCAACACTGCTCCGACAGTACTTTAATTTTAAAGTATTCTATCCGTTAACTGGAAAAAATGTAAAGCCGTACTTTTATGGTATTAATCAGTCTAGTGGTCGGACTACGGATGCACTGAAACACTAGACATCGTTTTATATATAATATTATACTCATTTCGCTTAAATAGAGAATTTTTTTTAATACACTCCCGTAACCTTCCAATGGGTAGTGTAACAGAGATATTTCTAAGCATTTTATCTATAGAGTCATTTTCAGTTTTCGGATCTAAAATTTATTAATCCCATTTTCCTCGCCATGTAATTAAGCGTACGAGCTACTTGCTCGTATTGAAAGAATAACTGCAATAATGCCGTGATTCGACTACAACGTTATAAACCTACGACTAACCAATCAGCTGATACTACCATAGAAAATATAAGGTTCAGGCTGATAACATCGCAATTATTAATATCGTATTCCACGCAATTCATTTTTGAAGTTATACTTCTTTTGGCGTGTTAGGGAAAAATGATGAGAGTAAATTTTTACGATGCGCGCTCACCGTC